TTTCAGGGGGGAGCGGCGGGGGAAACAATCCTCTCCTTCAGAGTATAAAGGGAGTAGTATAAGAAATCGATTGTCAATTAACTGCGTGGGTGAAATTATGAGTGGGATCGTAAGAATATTAGAGAGCCTAGGGGGAGGGGGTGGGGGGGTTGGGTAAATAATATCTTGTCACAACCAGAATCCTCCAGCTCCCCAGGCAGTAAATAATGACCTGTCCGTAAAGAAGAACACTTTAAGGTTTCTTTTCGCAGAGAAAAGGAAGGCGTTTTCCACAGCTTTCATCATCCCAAGTCCCGTCGTTAACTTTCATTTGAACACAGTTCTGGTATCCATGAGCGTTGTCTGGCTGGCCCTCGCTCCATCTCTCATAAGTCACCTGACTGCCATTTGGCCGATGAAAAAGATCCTCTGTGGTTATGTCATTAAGACCTGTCCAAACTCCATACATAGCTTCGTTATTTGAATCTGGAGACATCAAATTTAATTTCAAAATAATGTTACTGAGGAAAATCTGAACCTCTTTACAACCGTAATGGTTTTATAGGCTGACGTTACCAACGTCTGCCCTTCGCAAGAGAACCCAACAAGAGTCAACTGATAACAAGTTAAGGTTAATGTTGGGTTAGGGGAGAGGTAGGTTGCTAAGATACTGACATTGTTCCGCACAAACCGTACTTTTTTAAAACAAGATAGTTTGTGGCGACAGCATACTTTTATCGTATAAACATATCGTGACCACTCCTGAAACTTACCGAGGTGTTCCCAAACTTGAGTTATCATGAGAATTGGTGAAGTTAAAAAATGTTGCTCTACCTGTCATGTTAATTATTTCTTCACTAGTCAGTGCAGCGCCAACAATCATCAGATTTTTCAGATATCCCCTCGTTGTGTCATTACTGCCCCTCTTCAGTCCAATGTCACAAGTTGTGGCGGGGAAATTTTTGGGGATAGTGTTACTCTTGTCACTTCTTCCTATTTCCTGACCGTTAAGGTATAAGGAAGTCTTCTTTTGATCTCTGTTCCAGACCGCTGCGGCATGAAACCATTCGTCAATATTTGGAGTTCTGTAAAAAAATGGTGTGGTTAGGGTGTCAAAAAGTAAGGAAGGCTTCAACCCTACTATGATTTGTATTAAGGTGGTAATGCTCTCTATATAGTTTTCTTCAATTATATAACCTTGTATGCAATATCATAACTTTTTGATTGTTAATTTTTGACAGTTAGTGGACATTTTGGTAAGTGTTTGATAAATACAGACAATCAAAGCATCGTTATTCTTGGTATGTGCTGAGATTGGCAGACTATCCAAAGCGAAAAAACAAAGTTTCCCTTACCCCGCACGAAATTTTAAAACGCGCTGTCCTATTTTGTGATTATATAACTGAAACTGGAGTCCGTTCTGTATGTAGGCGGAGAAACGCAAAAAGTAAGTATCTGACCAGTATCCAAATATAGTCGATGGATCTTTAACAGGGGATTGTAATTTGACCCAACTGGCCAAAGTGAAACTGTCCGTCACAAAATTAACGGCTGGAGTTGTAGCGTAAGCGTACAATCCATCGAGGTACAACGCTTTCTCACTATCGATATCTTCTTCATATCTCGCTTCATTAAACAGGCTGTTGAAAGAAAAAAAGAAGGAAATGTTCAAATGGGTGTGGTTTCCATTTAACCAAGCCTATCAGATGTATATATTGAAACTGACGTAAGGATTATGGCAGTCAGCTTACCTTATGTCAACGTCACTGCCATCTAAAAGCCAGCGGCTGATCACGTTTTTACCTTAGAAAGAAAATAAATGTTGCTCAATTATTAACGATGGGTGGATGTTGGTTGTTTTTTTTTTTTTTCATGATTCAGGTTGGAAAGTTTTGGCATCTGTTTTCATACAGGCATCGTTCCCAAATGGAAAAGTAATTCAGGTCTGTTTTCCCATGCTACTCAATGCAAATTGTGGTACGAATGAAGATTTTCTGAGACAGACGTCATACGGAAAACAACTCAAATGACGATGACATCATTTGACCCTCTCTCTTCTGCTTGTTGCCCTTTACACCCTAACATCAGCATGCTTAGTCTCCATACTCTTCTCTATATATTTCCCAAGGTGCTGACAAGGAGAATTTGTTTAACAATCAAGAGCTTCTTAAGTTGGAGATTATTTCTGTTATTCTCGTGAGCTTTAATGTTTGATTCAGGGGTGTTATTGTGAGGAGAAATTGTATGTTAGTCACTCTTAGGGAGTTAAAGGATGAATAGTTTTGGAATCGAACATACTCGATGAAGAAATTAATAAGTATTGGTTAGTATCATTGTATTGTATGTAAACTCAAGCAAGCATGCCTGCTGAAATTGGTTTGATCTGGTTGAGTAAATGGAAAATGAATGAATTTTCATTTTCCTGATCGATCGACGCAAGTTCTCCTCCAATCGAATGGCAAAACTGGCGGGCTTGTCCCCAGGTCTTCCTCTCGTGAAACAATTTGAGGAGCTTGGAACCGTGTCTATACCAACCATCTGGGAGAGCTGTGGCAATCATGAAATAAATAGCGCTACAGTTTAGACTTTATATTTATTTTCGTGAATCTGCCTAAACCATGTTCTAGGGACAATTTGGAAATTTTAGTCGAACTGAATACATAACGATGGCTGGGGAAGAATACTTAAGTATAGCTAATTAGGTCATTTACAAGTGAGCATCGATTCAGATACGTCTTTAGGTGTGTACTTAAGATTTTGGCGGTTACATTACATTTGGTGGCATCATGATCTCACTTAAAAGCAGTTAAAAAATGGGAAAGAAATCGTTGAAAAAAGTTATCACAGCAAAATGTTACAAGATATTTAGAAAAAAATAATCGCGATATTTATGACTGTCACAATAAACACATCTTACCTTCTTTGTAGACGCATTGCTCCGCCGTACAATGTTCAACTTCCTAAGATTTAAACAAACACGTGTTTGGAAATAGTAGCCTCCTTGATAGGAGCAAAACCAAAATTAATTCTTAGGATGAAAAACGATATAATAAACCCTAGAGTAGGTTATTTATACAAAGTTTAGCCGTTGTTTAACAAAACCACGTTCCAAGCTGTTTTCAATTTAGCCGAACCTTTTCTATGAACGTTTATATTTGTAAAGATTGTCGGAGGGCCGGAAGCTATGAGTGGAAGGACCTCTATTTAATCGAACAACTTTCTTATAGAGAATTCTTGGGGCTCACTGCTTGCATAAAAACCGCAGCCTGGGTCAGACCCAGCAGAGTACAAAGAGGGTGACTATCGTAATCTGACTGCCAATTTACCAATGAGGAGTTCGGAAGGGGGGGGGGG